TTTGTGAGGAACGAGGTCATCTGGTCAATAAACAACCATGATGTGCAACCTTAAGAAAATATAGAGAGTCTCTAGCAGGTCAAGAAGTGTTGCTGTTGTACGCAAAGCCGTCAGTGCCCTCATTGTGGTTTTAAGTCATTCGCTGAGCCCCAAAATTTTATCCCTAAATATTCAAGATCACGATTGCAGAAGCTAAATGTATCTTGTTTTATGTGTTACATGATTGTTGTCTTGTCTTTTATGCTGACCATTGTTCTGTTCATGGCTTTACTTGCAGGTTTATCTTATTTTATTTTATTTCTACTGCTGTATTTGCGATTTTGTATTTTACGTATTTGTTGTTTTTTCATGCATACAACTAGCACGAGTACCTTTTTCGATATTGTTTATACGGAAAACTTTGAGTTTCTTTTCATCATTATATGGTGTAATTCAAAAGTAAAAATTTACTATCAAAAATAGTTATTGTACTTCCATCATTACCTTAGGCAAAGAGTACAGTAATCAATATTTTTTGTCTACTCTTAGAGATGATATTCCACACTGATACGAATCAACGCTCGGTGCTGTGACCGAAGACATATTCTTCATTGCAAGTAGGCCTGCTTCAAGTAGAGCCTAAATTTAATCGGCTGCATCAGCACCGGACGATGGACTGCACACAAAGCCGTTTCGATAAAACAGAAAAGGCAATTGTGCCTCCTCAACATATGGAAGATTCACGGTCTCAAAGCTCTTAATGCTGGTGACTTGAAATTTGCATAAGGCATTGTGGACAAAAGAGTCATCATTACGACGCTGACCGTAGAGAATCAGACGCGATCACTTAGGCCATTCGAAATATAATGCAGAGAATATATTCGAATGATGAATTGTTCACCGAACATAAATGGCTGAAACTGATATTACTTTGATTCCACGATATCAAAGCCCAAAAAACGATCAAAGATAAGGCTAAAAGCGAAAGATATCGTTTTCGTGTGATCACTCAATAAATGGACAAAATTTATTAAAAAAATAAATGCAAATTTACCATCAAGACTAAACAGCGATTTTGAAACAGAACCCGATTTGGCACAGTTTTGTTCACGGACGAATGTCTATGGAACTGTTTGCCATAAATTTACTTCTGGCAAATACTCTGACGCAAATTCCGTGTTCGACCCTGTAAGCCTGCGGACATGCGAACACTAGAACCATAATTAAAAATTCAACATGTTCAATAAATTGTGTATTTCACAAAGAACGCTTCCAAAATTAATTGAATCATAAAATTAATAGAAAGTATCCAACCATTGAAAAAGCACAAAGTGAACCATTTGCTGAATCAGATGATTGATCAGTACGGCGTTAAAGTAACGTAAATGACCATTATTCCTTGGAGTTTGCCAAGGAAGTGAAACAGCTTAAGTACGCTGAAGAGTATATTATGATCAAGTTGAAAAGGCAGCATAAAACATAAGCATTATGATCTGGTTAAAGATTTGTTAAACCAATATTCCTGTCATTGTTAGTATTAAATCATCGGCAAACTTCTAGTAGTATAATAGACCTAAATAATTACTACTAATCTCTCAGTTAAGCCTAGCATAAAATTATTAACCTTCGTATGGTAAAGGCGAATTTTATATCCGTCGCTGGTGACTTCTTCAGACAAACCAGAAGGGCAAAACGGGGCCAATGGAGAACAGACTTTCCTTAATCATTGAGGAAATTTTCAATAAACACCTTAAAAATATGGCCCGGAACACGAAGCTAGATCTGTTTCCAAAGGTTTTCAAACGATGTCTGACGATATTTTTGCCATCTGTTTGTTGGGTGATGAAAACAAAGTACTTTGGCCTTCTCAATGTCCTTCCATTTTAAAATGTTGAATTAATTAATGAAAGAAAAGATAATTCTGGCCTTTCTTTACTTGACATCTTAAAAATAGTAACTCTGGTACTACCAACAGTGCTAACCATCTGAAGAATCATATAAACTGCAAAAGGTCTGTAGTTATGGCTTTAATAGGCAAAGCTCTAAAGTTTTGAGGGAAGTCTTAAAGGAGAAATAAAACAAAACTAACCTTATGACAAGAACAATTCGTTAATAATATATAATGGAATAACATATAGTCAATAGCAAATCGACTTATAAGAGAAATGAGCTCTAAGTAAATGTGGTAAATAATGAGCCTTACATAATTTTCCTTATTGCGAAACGTTAGCAAGAAGTTTCCAATGCTATGTAGTACTAAATATAACAATATAGCAATGTATAAGAACTATAAGTGATCAGGGAGGAAACAGAACCCCTGTGCATCGGCAACACTTTGTTCAACAAGA